CAATTATTACGGTCCTCAACATGCCTAAAAAACAAGTCACCGTCTCCGCGGCCTACCTCGCCTCGCTCAAGGCCGAAATCAAGCGCCTCAAGGCCGAGAACGAGCGCCTCGCCCAAAGTTCGACGATTTGCGGCGACGGTGGCGCAGCATGCAAGCTCTGCGGCACGCCCCCGGGCGGGTACCGCGCGGCGGCCGCGCCTTCTTCGACGGCGTGGCGTGCTTCGACGGCGTGGCCGCCGCCGTCGCCGGCGAAGCCCACGGGCGACGCGCCGACGCCCGCGGGCCCCGCGCCGACGAAGCCGCCGCCGTCGAAGAAGTCGCGGCGCGGCGTGAAGCCCGCGGCGGAGCCCGCGGCGGAGCCCGCGGCGTCGAAGACGAAGGCGCGCGCGCGGGCGCCGCCGTCGCCGCAGCAGGCCAAGGGCGACGCGCCGACGGCCGCGGGCAAAGCGAAGTCGCCGACGAAGCCGCCGCCGCCGAAGAAGTCGCGGCGCGGCGTGAAGCCCGCGGCGGAGCCCGCGGCGGAGCCCGCGGCGTCGAAGACGAAGGCGCGCGCGCGGGCGCCGCCGTCGCCGCAGCAGGCCAAGGGCGACGCGCCGACGGGCGCGGGCAAAGCGAAGTCGCCGACGAAGCCGCCGCCGCCGAAGAAGTCGCGGCGCGGCGTGAAGCCCGCGGCGGAGCCCGCGGCGGAGCCCGCGGCGGAGCCCGCGGCGGAGCCCGCGGCGGAGAAGACGAAGGCGCGCGCGCGGGCGCCGCCGTCGCCGCAGCAGGCCAAGGGCGACGCGCCGACGGCCGCGGGCAAAGCGAAGTCGCCGACGAAGCCGCCGGCGCCGAAGAAGGCGCGGCGCGTCGCGAACCCAACGCCGGAAGGGCACGGGTTGAGCTTGGTCGGATTGAACGTGACCGCTACGGGCTTCTCCAAGGACGAGCACGTCTCTCTCAATTACCTTGTGGAGCGAAAGGGCGGGAAGCTCATGGCCTCGGGCTCGACGGTCACGAAAACGACGGGAGTGTTGCTGGTGTCAAGGAGCATTCTTGATTCCGACCGGTTGAAGGAGAGGTCGACGAAGTTTTTGGACGCAAAGACGATGGGACTTCCCATCGTCTCGTTAAGGGAAGTGGAGGCGCTGCCGGACGCGGAGCGAGGCGCGGCGCGACCTTCGGCGGCGCGGCAACGTACATGGCAGGGGAGGCCGCTGCCGTTGGAGACGATGACGACGGAGGAGGCTGAAACCTGGCTCGGGCCTACCCCAAATCTTCACTCTGGAATCACGATTTCTAGAGCACAGGACCTTGGCCTCAAGTTTTGCTCTTGTGACGCCGTCAATTGCGCAGACGTCCACTGGTGTAACGAGTGCCGCCGGAATTATTCTCGCGCAAACAACGACTGGGAAAGCAAACCGGTCTGCTACAAGGCCGAGGATGAAATACAGTGGGGGGTGGACAGGAAGGGAGCGGGTCGTAGATTCATGTCGTGTGCAAGATGCCAAAGGCGGCAGGTGCTGCAAATTTTGACCGGCAGTAAAGCGAAGGCTAGTCAGAAGTTCAAGCGCAAGCCCGAGAGCAAAGCGCGGAAGAAGCAGACAGATGAAATATATTTTGAAGAGCGTGGCGGACGCGAGAAGCGGAAAACCTGGGAAGCCGATTTCAAGGCCGCTCGCGACGAACGTCGGGCCGCCGCGAGCATCCGCGACGTGGCTGGAATTCCTGATGGGGTCGACGTGGAGGCGGTGTCGGACGCGGGCTTTTCGTTGACGCTGCGCAAGGTCGAAGAGCTGCGGAAACAGCTCGGCGAACCGGACCACGACGGGGACTGGGTCATCTACTACATCGTGCTCGCTACCTCCACCGATCAAGCGGCGAAAAAGTGGAGCATCGAGCAGGAGGGCGACTGTAATGGTGCGACTGCGTGCAACATTCTCGCGGACGGAACGGTGAAGCAGCGGCCCGGCATCGGCTTGGCGAAGCCCGAGGAGCCCTCGAAGCTCGTGCGCGGCTTTCGCGCAGCGGAGCTCCGGAAGATAAAGCCGCGGGCCTTCGCGATCGTCGACGCGGGCCACGCCCGCGAGGTCGCCACGAAGGTCGAGCAGCGGACGCGCGACAGGCTCGACATCCACGCGTATGCCGTCGACAAGGCCCTCAAGCCCCTGAATCGCGCGAACCGCGAGATGATCGGAAGGGAATCGGGCCCTTACTACGGCGGCGTGCGCCTGATCCCGGGGCTGCGGAACGGCGGCCCGCCGGGCGCCGGCGGCCTCGTCGGCTGGCTCGACCCGTCGCTCGACGAGAAGCACGCGAAGCGCGTGAACGAGGCCAAGGGGCGCAACGCCGAAGTCGCGCGCGCGCGCCGCGCGGCCGCGTAGATTTTACCGTGCGCGCGCCGCGGCCGCCATCACTGCACGGGCTTCCGCCTAGTATTATCCCCCCGGCCCTTTTCCCGCGCGCGAAGGACCGGGTAAGGAGCGGCCCGGCGCGTTGGCGGGGTTGAGGCGTACCGAGCTCGCCGAGGGATATTCCACCACTAGGATCCAAGGCAGCACCTTCAAGATTTGATCTGCACCGTGGGCGCAGGCTGCTTGTGCCCGTCGTACTGCCCGTCGTTGGCTGCCCGCACTCACACCCGAGCCCGGCGGCCATGCCGGCGGCGCGGGGCGAGAGCGAGGCGCGGGCGCTGCTGAAGCGCATGGGCCGGTCGCTGGCGAAGGAGCTCGAGGACGACGACGACGCCGGCGGCGGCGCCCCGGGCCGCGGGTCGCGGCGCAAGCCCCGCGCCGCCGGCGGCGGCCTCGCGGCCGTGCGCGACAAGGCGGCGCCGGGCGGCCTCGGCGGCGCCCTGACCTGGGGCGTCGCCTGGGGCTGCGCGCCGCACCTCGCCTTCGCGGGCGGCGGCGCGCGGCGCGCGTGCCGGCCCGCGCCCGGCCGCGTGAAACTCGCGTCGTCCGGCGCGGCGGCCGTCGCCTGCGGCCTCGGGGGCACCCTGGTCCTCGACGACGGCGGCCGCGCCGTCGCCTACCCGCGGACGGACGGCGGCAACCCGGCGCCGCGGCGCGTCGGCGGCGGCGCGCGCCTCGCGGCCGCGGCCGTCGGCGACGGCGTCGCCGCGCTCTGCGGCCGCGACGGCGCCCTCCTCGCGCTGGACCCGCGCCGGAGCGCGGGGCGGGCGGGCTCCTGGGAGTGCCCGCGGAGGCTCGCGCTGCCGCCGCGCGTCGCCGTCGTCGGCGTCGCCGCGGGCGCGACCCATTGTTTGGCGGTCTCCGCGTGCGGCGAGCTCTTCGCCTGGGGCGACGGGTCCGCGGGCCAGCTCGGCCTCGGCGACGAGCCGGCGGCCCTCGCGGCGCGCGGCGCGCCCGCGCTCGTGCCCTGGCCCGCGGCGGCCGCGCCGCTCCGCGGCCTCGCGGCGGAGCCCGGCAAAGCGGCGCTGGCGTGCGGCGCGCACCACTCGTGCGCGGTCGACGGCGCGGGCGCGCTCTGGACCTGGGGCTTCACGGAGCACGGCCGCCTCGGCCGCGACGAGCCGGGCCTCGAGGACGTCGCGAGCCCGCGGGACGGCGGCGGCGGCCGGGCGCTGGGCACGCCGGGTCCGGCGGTCCTCCCGGGGCCCGAGCGGCTCGTCGCGGTCGCGTGCGGCGCGGCGCACACGCTCGTCGTCTCCGAGCGCGGCGACGTCTTCGGCTGCGGCTGGAACGAGTGGGGCCAGGCCGCGGGCCGCCGGACGACGCCGCCGGCCGTCGTCGCGCTCGCGCGGGTGGCGT